GCTTCGAGTCACTTGTTACACAGCCATCTTGGAGGGATCGGGATCCTATCGTATTACGGATCCTTAACCCACCGAATGTTACCGTTATAGTACTACTACCGGCTGCCTCCTATGGGAGGTTTTCAGTGTGGACCCCAAGCAGGCCTGGGCTTCGGACGCCCGTTGTCGTACAAAAGTCAAGTAACTACTACCTCACGACAGCACCCAAGTGTTTGACGCCTGCCTCCCAATATTAGTCTCTATAATAAGCCCAAATCAATTTTCCAATTCTGCACCCTTGTGGGACTCGAACCCGCGCCATTGCCCAAAGCCACAGATCTGTGATCCTAGACCACTGCCCCAATCCAATTCCCATAAATGTATTCACACACATTGCTTTACACTATCCTCTATACTTGGTGTTTGTATACCATACTTTATCCAAGTCATTTCCATCGCGGGCGTCCAGTATGGGGTTTTGTACCTCTTTTCTTCTGGAATTTCGCTCCCGCCTCATTTTCTTCGAATTACTATTAATTTCGCCACCAACCTTCTTACTATATAATTTCTTTTGACTCATCGATATTCGACCGTTTTACGCCAGTGTAGAACGATATTTAGTATTTAGGCAAAATTGTTCAGTAACAGTGTAACAAAATTTATTTCTCTGAGCTCTTTCAAAATTATTTTTATCAGTACGTTTTTTTAGTCCTCATATTGCTTTCGCTGAAGCCTCTTGTGAAACCAAGCAGTAATTTTACGTGTGCGAGTAGCATAGCACGATGCGCAAGTCGAGTCCACAGTTTGATGATGGAATTTTTGTAGTGTGTTTGGTAATTAGATGTTACAACGACACCGTAGTATCGCTTGTTTGTGCTACGTTCAGTGCCCTAGGGTAGTCGGACGAGAAAACGTGTTCATAGGCTGTAAAAATACTTCGTTGGTGGTAAATCATGGACTGACAGTCTTTCCTTTTGTGTAATACGATCTTAGCACGGCTCCCTTCTTCCTACAACTTCTCGAATAATGCTTTACGATATAGGATATGTGATGATATAACTGACGTTGTTGCACTTGTGTACATGAATCAAAAACGTTTCCATGGAAATTGCACAGTTTTATAATTTTGCGACATCCCTGGAGCACAGATTAGCAATTAAATCTAGTCGAACTTTGCTACTGTAGCTATACGCTTCAAGGCGCATCATCGATTGTGCGGACATTGAAAGTGTTTGTAAGTCCGACTGAAAATATCCCAAAACGATCAAGTTCGGTGGATCAAAAACCGGTCGCGTGTGCCCACTAGGGCTAATTTAATGACGCCACGGCACACACACACACCCGCGCCAATCGCTATTCCGCAACGACACCTGAAAACACTGGTTCGCCAGTCTTTCCGTACCAGTCCTCGATGCCGCGTATCTGTGTCATAGGCTTATATTGTGAAATGAAAACGCAGAGTAAGCACTTTAGTTAGCCACAAGTTCGCAACCTCGTATGCTACTTTATGCCTACTGGATCTTTTGACTATACCTCTATAGTCGCTACATCACACATCACTGATTACAACATCACGCACTAGGGATCGCCACTTGCAAAATACTAATCGCCACATTGCACATTAGTAATTGCCATGTCACGCATAACCAATCGCCATATCATGTATTAATAATTGCCACGTCGCTCACAACTAAACGTCGCTTAGTTTTCGAGGCTCTTTAAAAAAAATATCACTTGGTTCGGCAGCGACTACGACACTGATCCCAGTTTAATTCCGGAGAGAGATACACTTCGTTGCTGCAATTGCCTTTCGCTTGATATCTACAAGCTTGATTGTGTCGGTAAGTTCTGCACGACTTGTGTTATCTCAACCTTCTAACGCACGTAGTGGTAGCGATTGTTGATGTGCTTGGTGCACTTATGAAACTTCGGGTTTTCGGCCAGCGCAATAGCTTCATGATTTCCTTTGACTACAGCTAGTGCGTTGCTGCCTGCTTCTTCGCCTAGTCCACGCATGAACGCCTAAAAGTCGCACTGCCTTTTGACTCACTTTCGCCAACTTTATGTACTCTGCTTCAGTCGACGAAGTGCAGCGCTGCGCTGCTTCTTGTTGCGCCAGCTGATGTAGTCTTTACCAAGCACAGACAAGTTCCCACTAGTACTGCGTCTCATCTTAGTGTCGCCAGCCCAGTTTTCGTCAATATGGGCAACCAGCTTAGCAGTAACAGCTTAGGTAAAACGAATACTAAGTGTTCGAGTCTCTTGTAGGTACTGGAGTACGCGCATAGTGCTTGCTAGTGTGTTGGACACGGGTCAGCATCAAATTGACTCGGCACTCCCACTGAAGCTGCTACGTGCGGACGCGTTCCAACCATAACCTACATCACAGCTCCAACAGCACTTCGGTTTACCACAACTCGCATGGTGTTCTTAGGCTTGCACTTTTCTTTGCACATGTTCTTCGTCAGCTCGAGTCCGTGGTCTTGCGGTGTCTTAGCAAGCTTGAAGTCTTGCCGAACTTGGTCAGGGTCAAGCGCAGGAATTTGGTTTGTTCATCGACAAATCGCCTGACTTTTCATCTCGGTCGTACTTGAGTTCTTCAAGATCGGACATCTTATACTGTTCTTTTAATGCACGCTTGGTAGCTGAAAGAACACCCATGTCGCCGCACACAGTATGATGTCATCAACGCAGAGGACTACAAATATCACGACATTACTTTCACGCTTGGTGTAGACGCAGTGGTTGTCCTCGCACTTGGTGAAGCCTATTTTTTGCATGATCTCGTCAATGATTACATTTTACATGCTTGGCGACTGCTTGAGTCCGTTAAAGCACATTTGAGCTTGTACACGCGGTGAGGATAACCGACATAGAACTATCTGTCGGTCTGCTTCACGTAATCTTTTCTTCATGCAGGCCGTTGGGAAATGCCGTGTTAACATCCATCTGGTGCATCACGAGGTTGTGCTGCACGGCGATACTCGAGTGATCCGGTTCGACGCAAACTTGGCCAACTAATCGAACGTCTCCTCAAAGTCCACACCGCAAAAATGCGCAAGAAGCCTTTCGCCACAACACGAGCCTTGTTCCGTTCAATGAAACCTTTAGTGTTTTCCTTCATCTTGAGTACCCACTTTATTCCGATCGCCTTTTCACCCCTTCACAATGGCATGAATTTTAAGTCTTGTTCCTGCACAACCTTTGAGCTCTAAACTGCACGCTTTTCTCCAGTTGCTCACGTCTTCGAATTTCTTCTTCAATGAGAAGGTAATCGGCGCACTCATCCCACTAAATATACGCATGAGCACAACGTTAGTAGTGTAACGGTTATGACTGGTAGGCGTGCCGACGCAACTAATGTTGATAATAAAAGACGAAGATGACTATATTCGTTTGACTTTTATCCGCTCGACCATAGCGCTTCTTTACTGGTGAATATGACAAGGTTCCTGGTCAATGATTCCGTAGATGGCACTCGGAATTCGGTGGGAATTTAAAAAAATTCTGCCGTGGGTTTTGCGGCGGGCGACCCGTACGTTGCGCTTGCTCCATTTGTGGCCGATCATGGATCGAAATTGGCTTGGTTGCTTGCTCCTCCACATCTTCTCTATCGATCTCGTTGTGTTAGTCTGCTTCTATATTCTCTTGCTCATAAGAACTATACTCAAAAGTGTTGTGGTCGATTGAATTTGCGTACTTTCCGCTTCCAAAGGTTTATTTTATGAACTGGTCGTCGCGACTCACTAGGATGCGACTGCTAAAATCCCTTTAAATCGATAGTTTTTTGTGGTTCGAGTAGCCCAAGATGCGACACAACGTCGATTGCGCATCGAGTGTAGACCTCTTCTCTCTCGGCACATGTACATATGTGGGGCACCCAAATACCATTACATTCTTCAGCAAAGGTTTCGCCTGTGTCCACACCTCGAGCGGGTGCTTTTATAACGAAGTTCTCGCGTCGGTCATCGCTTTTGTATGAACGCTGCAGTTAATACTGCCTCTCACCAGTAGCATTTGGAAAGTCAATCAAAATCGGTCATGCATCGAGCTTTTTCGATCGGGGTATGGTTCTCCCGTCTATTGACTCCGTTTAGTTGATGTGTGTAAAGCATCTTGAGCCGATGTACGATGCCGTGGTTGCTTAAGAACGTGAAGGGGTGGGTGGTCAAAATGTTTGACGAGACCCCAAGACACTGTACCAGACTGCCGAATACTTACCACTAGGGTATAGAGCCTGCTTCCTATAGCGGGCTTGAGTTGAGGGGTGCTAGTCTACGAACCCACAGGCCACTGTACCTCCTGGGATTCTACTTACGCTTGTGTCTTACTGACAACTGTCTATTCGACAGGTGGGTCACACAGATCCCTGGTACGTAATAGGTCGGTAGACTTACAAGTTGCTCAGCGCACGACAGGTCTTGCTACTTAGATCTCAGAGTGAGAAGTATTTAATGTTATCCTATCCATTAAACTCCTGAGCTATATCTTTGCCTTGCACCTGGACTCGCTATGATTAGTGGCTAGGATCCCCCCGACTTTGAGAGGCCGAGTCGACCTAAGGGTGACCAGGTCGGCCTACGGGTGACCGAGGCCCACCTTGGGCGACCAGGCCGACCAGCCAGTGGTTGAAAGCGATCTATATCGTTACCGTTTTTGCTGATACCGTTGGTCGATTTGACCCCGTTTGCAGTAACATTTATCGCTCGTCACGGTTTGCCTTAACGGCCGCTCCTTACCTGTAAACTGAAGTCTGCGGTCCCTTTCCCGGCCGCGAGGTCCCATGTCCGTCCAGATCATCGGCTCTCAAGTCCATCCTTCTCGAATACTCGCTTCATCACAGCCTCACCTTGCAATTGCTTGACCGTACAGCGGTTCGATCACGAGCATATGTTTACCACGCCTGTCCCGTAAGTCCCACCTGCTATTGTAGCCGATATCGTTTCATCGTTTAATCTGTGCAGTCGCAGGTATGTCTTTACCGGTATCCGTTGCACCATCGAAAGGTCCGGCTCCGACTCCTACGCCACCATCTGCACCCTCATCAGCGGTCTCTGCATAGGCGGACGCAGTCGCAGCATCGCCTGTCGCCTCCGTTTATTCAGATTCGTCATCGTGGTGAACGCAGAAGAGGCCGTCGTGACTACGCGGTCAACTTCGTCACCGGTGGAGTCGGCTCCAGTCAACTTTGGTGTGGGGTCGCCCCCAGTCGTGACTGCTGTCTGTGCCGCTTTCGCTGATGTCGATTTAGCCCTACGGAAGAAACCCTCTTCGGCGTTCGTCTTCATATAAGCGTACAACCTGTTAATGTGGTGGCGTTGTCTCGCCGTGTCAAGGCCTGTGAGGGTCGATTGGCCCTGACGTCTCTGTCACCACTACTGGTCGCTCCGATGTACGCGCTTGGAACGGGAGTTAGGTGACTCTAACGATCACGTGTCGCAGTTTCTCGAGAAGCTACAGCGTGAGAAGGCTCTGACCGACCGTTGGCAACAGCAAGTTGACTCTTCGACATAGTCGGATGTCCTTTCTCGTGGCAGAGCTCAGTCACTCTGATTTTGCGGGTGAACCTTTTATGGGTAGCCCTGGTGTCGCTCAAGGGACGCATCGAGACTCGACCACAGATAATCAACCCCCTGCTTCCGCCGCCGATTAGCAACCTCTGCAGAAGTCTTCTCGTACCTCAGCCCATCCGGCTAAGCGGGTAAAGGTGAGTGCGCCGGACGTTCCAATGGTGTAGAAGACGGTTTCCAAGCGTTCTTGAAAATCTGCGTCGGCGATCGTACCGACATCTTCTGACGTGAGTCTCTGCTCTGACAGCGAACCGATCAAGGCTGCCATGGCGAGATCTCGTTTATCCTGTCTTCGGCAGAAGACCACGCCTCTGCCTTCTTCTGCGGTCCCGACCTTCATGCCGAAGGATTCGACCCCTCGGTCTTTCAACAAAATGTTGTTAGGCTCGTCCAAATCCAAGACCGAGCCGCCAACTCAGAAGGAGGGTGACCACCCAGCGGCTCGCAGTTCCGTTTCTTTAGCTAGCGAGTACCTGCTCCCGCAAGAGGCCATGATTCCGGCCACACTCAGGCGAGGGTCTTGACCACCAGGGAAGTGGCGACTTGGTTGGTCGGCATGATATATTTTTGGTCGCTCGTGACCATGACGCCGGGGGACCTGGCAGAACAAATTTTAGTTGCCTTGGGTTTGGTTCGGTCCGCGTGATAGGAATTTCGATCGGCCTATGAAGTGTTAATCTTCGCTAGTCACTCCGCCCATGGTCAGGGGGCTGATGGCTGCGAAACCTTGGTTGGCTGCCAAGGTTCCTTTTCCTCCTGTGTCGTTCAATGTGGTCGGCTGGTTCACTGACCTGGCCGAAGCATACACGACTTTAAGACTGAGCATGCTCAGGCGCTCTGGGAGGCTACCCACTACCTCTAGATCTCGAAGTATCAAGCCCGCACAAGCTCCTTTTTCGCCTCGTACTACAACGCCCGAAAGAAATGGAGGATTAGGGCGTCTTTGGCGTGGCGTGGGATCGTCTGTAACGGGGCTAGAACAACCCGTACGAATTACACTATCACTGCTTAGGAAGCCTGGACCCAAGTTTTAGGTATCAAGTATTTTTAAATCTGTTTTTTTGTCTTTTAAATCATCCTTAATACGAGTATTTCCCTTGGACTCATAGATACTACTCAATCTACGTGCCTATATCTTACTGGCAAATAACGGGACCGATCCCATCAAGCCAGCTAAAATATACGACGTGCTACTTTTGCTACCTCGGAAGTAGCTTCCCTACATAAGTTACATAAAAACTTAATCGAAAATAACTTATGTAACGGGGTGGCCCATTACATCACCACCTTCTCAAAACAGCACTCACTAACCGTGATTGCTTAACTGCATGACCCCAACGGTTACTTAAACAAACGATGACCGAAGACGCGAATACCAACAATACACCACTTCCGCTCACAATCAGCGGGAGTTCAGGAGACTGCGTAATGGACCAGCAATTGATCCCTTTGGTGCTATACAACCTGTCCGGAGCGCAAGCTCCGGGCTCTCTCGAAACAATGCAGGATTACTTCCGCCGCTTCCGCAGGTTTCACGGATATTGTCTTGAAGGCATCTCGTTCGACTCACTGCAGCGTTCTTGGTGCGCGTTCGTCAGTCGATGCAATCGGATGTTTAAAGATGGAAGGAACTGTGGTAGAGCGTTTTTGTCAGAAAGAGCGATCGATAAAGGGAGTGATTTCCAAAGGCGACAAATCGTTGAGAGAGATAGATTGGCAGATAGGAGACGCAATGCTAAGATCGAATATTACAGTATCGAGATCGAATATCACGATACCGAGAGCGAATATCGCAATGCCGCGACTAAATATCACGACAATGGGTTCGAATGTCAATTTATTAAGATCAAGCCAAGGTACCGTGATTGAGGAAGTATAAGATGTTCAAGGTCGGGAATATGGCTGACAGATCGGCAGAGATCAAGATCCTGGAAGGCGATCGACAACCGAAGAGATCGAAATTTCTTAAGAAGACGAATTGATCAAGGAACTCGACTATCGAGGAGATCAACGATCGGACAGATCAGGGATCGGCCAAGATAATCGACGATCAGCGATCGGCTAAGGAGATCGACGATCAGCGATCGGCCAAGGAGATCGACGATCAGCGATCGGCTAAAAAGATCGATGACCAGTGATCGGCCAAGGAGATTGACGATCAGCGATCGGCTAAAAAGATCGATGACCAGTGATCGGCCAAGGAGATTGACGATCAGCGATCGGTCAAGGAGATTGATGATCAGCTATCGGCCAAAGAGGTCGACGATCAGTGATCGGTCGAGGAGATCGTCGATCGATCCAGGAGATCGTATTCGGAGAGACTGGCGACCGAAGAGATCGGCGATCTGTCCTAAGTGGACCACACATGCGAATATCAATCACCGAAAGATAGAGGACACGTGGTAGAACATCCCAACATAAAGACAGGCATAGTCACAGTCTTAGCTTTTGGTTGGTTGAAATTGAGCAGAATTCTATTTGCTTCTAAGTACACGCGTCGACTTCTCTTCCGGTCTGAAATATCGGCCTCCCGACGTGAAGAAATTCTCGTATACGAAAACCAAGTGATATCCCCATATCATTGGCTGGAGATCAAGAATTATCAACCCCCCCCAAATGCGATCGGACACAGCAAGAATGAAAAGGACAAGACGCAAGATCGCGAGACGGCTCAAGTGTTCAGAAGGCTCGCGTATCAAGCATCCACACCGTGGACAAGGCGATCTCGTTGAGATCTGGGTGACTTTTATCAAACACTCTACAAGTACCCCGTGATCGCGCTAAGATTTTTGCCCGATCCCACCAAGCCATTCCAAACACGTTCAAGTTTTCTATCGACACGAGTCCACCGAGAAGAGTGCAGCCCGCCCTACCGACGGGTACACTAGGTGAGGAAGGAGTTAAAAGACACGGAAACGGAGTACCCTCTCCGATAGTCGGTCGTCTGGGCACCACTGGAGAGCAGGGATAACCTCATAATATGAGCGATCGCCACTCCACCACAATGGTGCGCGTGCCCGGATCTTCTGGCGACTCATGATTTCACCGTGAGTCCCTGAGTGAAGATGAGAAGGTCAAGATTGAACCTGGAATGGAAGCGTATGAGGCAGAGGGATCGCCAAGGACGCATGATTTTACAAGATCCTCAGATCGTCAGAGTTTTGGGAGGGGCTCTGATGACAAAAAAACAAGAGGAAGATCGATCTTACGATCTGGAAAATAAACCTCAACCCCCTCCTTGTGTCCCTTCGAGGTCCACCGCGGATCGTGCTGCAAAACACGATCCGCTAGGTGAAAACACTTCTGCGAAAACTAGACAAAAACTACACAAGACCACTTAGGCAATATCAAAGAAGAAGATTGGGAAGACAGATCGAGTAAAGAAAGACGAGTCCGGATCAGATCGATGCGATCGCAGCGCGAAATTGATCGAGCGACCGATCAAGTTCGTGGATGATGCTCTGGATATGAAGATGGAAGGATGACAGTTGGATCAATTGGCGCAGGGATATCACTGGAAGGCGCTCAAGAATCTGCTATCGAACGACCCAGTGCTCAAAATACTGAAGCCCAAGCGGATCGGAGAAACTGACGTTCTGATATCCCCACCGAAGACGGCAACGAACCCGCTGGATGGAATTAACGCAATCATAAGCTACTACATGACGTTGGATACGTTGCTGGGGTGTTCGATGTGAACAAGATGCTACAATGCGATCAAGATCAAGTGTTCCACGCGTGTCATTTTCTGTATGACAAGTTAATTCCCCTGACGGGGAGGTGCGAACCCACAGATCAAGATGTCAATGCGATCGCCAACGTCCCAAGAGGAAACCAAACCGGATCGTCGCAGTACGCCTCGGCGATTTCCAAGATGGAATCGGAAGATCGGTCGGTATTCAGAGGATGTATCTGGGCCCATGTGGGGTAGCACATCTGCGTGATCGGATTAAGAGGATCAAGGTCGAACCGCAATCGACGATCATCGGCGCAAAAGGACAAATGACGCCACCGATACAAGGAAACGTGCAAAGCTACCTCACTAAAGCCATGGAACGCTTTCAACAAGATCAGTGAAAACTGGCGTATCAAGCGATCTACCCAAGTCAAAGGATCAAGCCTGCGAAAATCCGCGAAACATATAGACCGAATGTCGAGATGGTCGGTGCGGTCGCATATCAGTCGATCAGATTTTCTCGATCCTAAAGATGCTGATACCGACGATTCGGGCCAAGATGAGCGGCGACGTTCGATGATACTCACCACAGAGACGTTTCAGGAGGGTGGTGGAATCCCTTAGCGCATTTGTGTGTCAGCAATGATGGAGCTAAAGGAATTCAGTGGAAAAGATCGAGACGTAGATTGAGCTCGAAGCTGGAGTAGCAAGGTCAAGTCGGCGTTTTTGAGCGATCAGGCACCAGATCAAGAAAGGTGCTTGGTGTTCGGCGACCTGTTGACGGGACCCGCGCAAAACTGGTACAACCAGCCGAAACGATCAACACGATACAAGTGGAAACGATTGCTGGATTGTTTAATGGTACAGTATGGGGGACAAGTTGTGTCAGCGGCCAGGCATTATTACCTCGCGCGGAAGCGATCCATTGAAACCCCTTGCATCGGTGGCGTCATTTGTCCTTTTGCGCCGATGATCGTCGATTGCGGTTTTACCTTGATCCTCTTAATCCGATCACGCAGATGTGCTACCCCACATGGGCCCA